TGGGATGATAGTGCCCAGGCGTTCGGGGAGGATGACACCACATTCACGAACAACCCCTTAAGTGCTGAACTTGTACAGCCGGCCGTCGACGATTATTACGACGCAGTTGAAAATAGAGACAACATCAAGCCGTTGGTACGAGACTATGCCAAGTTTACCGTCGATAAGAAGGGCACGCTGCGATTGAAGGCTCACCCGGGGGTCGATATCATGAAAAAAGACGGGAAAGGGCCATATGCTTTGTCAACACTCACCAGTCGCCCTGGTGGGAGTCAACTGATCCGTGATGAACTAGGCTTCATAGATTACGGTGGCGCACGGCCTAAGCTTCCCCCGAAGGTCGTCCAAGATCTGCAAGCAGCCAGGACCGAACTCAGCAATACTGGGGATGCTAAAGAAACATCAGACAGTATCGAAAAAATATTGGCCACGTACCATGACAAACCCTTGCCGGGGCTCGAATTTCCCCTGAGGGAACTGCGAGGCCTAGACGAAGCCTTGAAACATGTACGCGGAGAACTCGTTAACAACATGGGGAAACTGAACGAAGTCGACGAGCACATCGCTCGCGAGAAAATAAAACTCACCGAAACTGAGGACGATGATATGAAACGTCGTATCGAGGAGAGAATAAAAAACTTGGAAGACGAGAGACGGACTCGGTTGGAATCCGCTTCCTCGAACCGGGAAGCCCTCCGATCCCAGATCAGTCGTGTACGGGAAACCATCGATCGAGTCCTAAATGAGGACACCACGCTAGCTGACAGGATCCGAATCCTCTTCCGAGAGCAAGGGATCACCATCGCCAGCATTCTGACTGCATTGGGCTTCATCATATCAACCCTGGTGGTGTCATTGACAGGGGGCGGCACCCCACACCAACACCAACACACCACCAAGTGGTGGGGGCGTCAAAGACTGGATAAAAAAACACCTGAAATCCCTCGGGGAGGCCCTGGCTAAACTGGCTGGTAAGGCCGCCGAAGCCCTGCCCGGCATCCTGGGTAGCATCGTCTCGTGGCTGCTGAGCGCTCTGGCTAAAACTGCCACGTGGCTCAGTCAAAACCTGTGGGCAGCCATCGTCGCCGTGGCGGGTTTGGTGTACGTAGCGGCTAAGGAATTTTTAACCAAATGAGCCCCAACCCGACCGCTACCCCGCCAACCACCAGGGCTGTTTTACGATCGATGTGCTGCTGATTGGACGCCTGCTGTGGGGGTGTGTGTGACCCCACAGGGGGTGTTGGTTGAACCCTAGGCTCCGGGGGTGGCGCCACTATACCCGTTTCACCGGTCGTGGGTGGTGGGACGTGGGGGACGTTGACATCGGGGTTGACGCCCAACTTTTGGTCCGCCGTGGCTATGACTATTTCGTTGTTGTAGCCCACCACTTTTTTTACTCTCAGTTGCATATCGCTCGGAGCCATGTACAGTCCCACGTCGAAGACGTAGTCGACTTTCGACCTGGCGTATTCCAACACGTCTTGGTAGCGTTTGATGGCACTCGGGAGATCAACTGGAGCATTGATAGCATCCTCAACGTTAACAACGAACTGTTTCTGAGCGTCGTAAGCAGTCCCCTTACCGAGGATGTTGGAACGCGTTTGCGTCTGCGCACCCAACAGCGCCCACACGTACGTTCGAATCGAGTCGTTCAATCTGATTACACCGGCACGAGTGAACCCTCTCGACGTGTCCAACATGAACTTTTCCCAGTCATCCGCTGCCCCCTGCTCGAACCTCCAGACTCGGTAATCCTTGCTGTTGTCGAAAGCCATGTAACGGTCATCCCACTCGTTTGTTGTGAGGTGATGATACGACTTGTAACCCCATTCTTTCATCTTCTCGCTGGCATCCACGAGGGGCATATTGTGAACGATGGGGATACCCAACCCATGGTTCGGTCCCGGCAAACGCCAATCCGTCTTCGGGTTTAGTTCGAATTCGTTGCAAATACGTTCGTAGGCCCGTCTATCGTACTGGTTGTTTACTGCGTCCCATGCTTTGTCCTGTGGGAGCGGAGCGCTGATCTCTTTGAGGATACGCCTGACCTGGTAGTACACGTGGAACGTGAACACAGACTGACTCAGCGGTCCACGCCGAGTGTCGGTCAATGTCACACCACACCCCGTTGTAGCGCACCACACAGCAAAGTTGAGTTGATTCTGCCAGAACTGCATCGGGTTGTTGAACCATGCGTGAACTACCTTAGCGTTAGTCACCGAAAACTTATACCGGTCGAACACATCTATAAACTGGGCGTCGAAATACAACCCAGCAGCGACCACGATCTTCATGTGGGGGAAATCTATGTCCAGTTTAGGGTAAAACACTCCAGGGGAGTACATTTTAAAAGTATTATATAATGAGTATATATATTCCCAATACATAACATGGACAACGAGCACTTCAGCTGATGGACGCGATCGATAACATCGCCCGGCCGAAGTCACACTCTGCGATATCAGCTACCTACCGATGACGGACTAACATCAATCGATAACACGTTCGTCGTGGTCAAACCAGATAACTGACGGCTCTGCGGTCGCTACCTACGAGGTCTTCAAACCCCTTGGAGCGAACTCAAGATGAACGACTCAAACGGCACAGTGGTGTTAATCAACAACAAAGAAACTCCTGAGGTTCGTTCGGCCATTGGCGAGAGACACCGGTGCATTCACCGCCAGGTGAGCAAAACGGACAACATTCATAATCACCCTTCCACGATACTGAGAGCCGTACCGTGAAAACGGAGAAATACAACAACGGCAGAACTGAGTCGTTTTCACCGCGGCAGTATAAGAGGTTAACTCGGGGCAACATCCCTGAGCTGATAATATCGGGTGTTAGATATAAATCATAATCCTGTGAATATAGGATACCTCAGCATAACGCTGCACATAAAATGACTAGCGCACAAGGCCCCGGGATGAAGTTGAAAAAATGCATCAATGTGGGGATATCCGACCTCGGGGACACACGCGGATTCGACGACGCCGGAGTAGATGGTAAATTGTACGCCTTGCAACTGAAAAACAACATTTACAAACGCGTTGAAGTCCCCTCCGGTGGAGCCCTAGGTGATATAGTAGATACATCAAGAGCGGTCGTCAACACTCGGTACACCCTAGTCAACACCGGTGATGATAGATGGATAATATTCCCATCGTTCGGGGGCAAACTGTTCGACTTAGAAGATGTTGAGAGCACTACCGTCGCCCGCCAAACAAGCCATATACGCTGTCTTCACCGGAAGATGACAAGTGGGTGTTGTTAACCTCGATAAAGGCGACTGGTTTTCAATATTAGGCTCTGCTCCCCCTACGTGTTCACGGATAACAAAGACAACTACCTAAACAAAGTCGTGAACAACGGAACCCTGCTCGTGGCTTACGTCCCAGCTCAGAGGCATACCGTAGTCATTAGCCCAGTCGCCAGGATGGCAGCCCACATGCTATCGAGTAAACCGGGAGTGCCAGACGTGACATTGCAGTTGGTATCTGAATTTGCTGGCGTGGTCAACGTCCTGGCGAGCCTACTGGAGAACGCCACTCTGATCATCAAAGTCTACCTAGGGGAACCATCGCAGGATGAGGTCGAAATCGTGAAGGGGATCAAACTCGGGTGGGTGAAACGACACCAGTATCACGTTTGCACCGATTACGTGCGACTGGGTGTCGACTCCAAAACCAATCTGCAGGGAGTCTGCACGGTAAGTGAGCGTATTTCCACGGCACTCACAGACAGCAAGATCTCAGAGGAGGAGTTTTGTTCAATCCTCTCTGAACTCACAAAATATAACAAAATGAAACAAGAGATTCGATCCAAGTCTCGTAAGTCTGCTATCAGCGAAGACGAGAAAAAAAAGTACACAGAACAGGGAGTACGAAAAGCCCAGCAAGCCTTTATTACAAACACCAAAGAGATCATAGGCGATTCACATTAAACTGTTTCATCGAGGTCAACATGACATAGCGGCACGGCAAATTATTTTGTGAAATATCCTTAAATATATACTTATCAAACCTACAGAACATTTTCAAACAAATGTAAACTAAAATTATGCTTGATAACGTTTTATCTCTCCAATTTAAAAAAGAGACACGTAAATCAAGCCATGACGTCGAGGAAATAGATGGGTTATTAACACTTCTGACAATAAAACATCATTAACAATTACATAGGTGTTGTTATAAAACAAGATATATAAAACAAGCTATCCAGTAAGCTACAGTGATTTATGTTGTGATGCCGATGAATGTGATAACAAAGAGATGACTGGTAGTCCATGATGACAATGTAACAAAGAAAGGAAAGTGAAAGGCTAACTATGTCACGTGTAAACCACAGATGAATATATACCAGGTAGTGTTTCTAGGAATTCAAGGAAGGTTCCACCTGTCACGCGAATATGTTAATAAAAAGGTAGGCATGAATATCGCGCTGCAATAATACTATAAACATTGTATCAAATTATTCTAGTTATATTAGTTTGTTGTAAACCCATTTTCCAACTGCATGAAAATATATCACTTCGGACAATTTGAATTCTGTACCAGATAATCCAGTGATCGACCTAATGAACAGAGATTCACGTCGTCAGGTTACGACGTTTCATCAACATCTGTGTTTTGTTTTGTTTAATGCATGTTTCATGTTTCGTGCTTCACGCAACACCCACCAATATTACAGTTATAGAGTAGAGTAACTGAGTATCGATCAGCTGAATATGGATTCGATGACACGCATCAAAAAGGTCGATAAGCCTGAGGGAAGGTGAGGTAGCCTAGTGATTAAAGCGTTCGCTCGTTACGTCGAAGATCCGGGTTCCAAACTCTACATGGTTACAATGTGTGAAGTCCATTTCTGGTGTCCCCCGCCGTAATATTGCTGGAATATTGCTATAAGCGGTGTAAAACTAAATTCAATCAATCAATCAGTAAGTCTGACTACCTGAACCCGTCAGTCGTCTATAACAGGCATCGGCTACTTAGTTTTTTTATAAAAGATTTCTATATTTCTTAAAAAGGTTTACGCATATGAGTTTTGTGCGACTGATGAAATGTGATATTCAGATGTTTTCGTATATGACACTTGATGTACTGTTGAAGGTTACACGCGGTGGTTCGCCAATGTTCTGGTACATCGGATTTTCAACAGCTTCATATATGTTTGTTTCTTCCGACCGACAAGTCTGTATAGAACAGTATGGTTCTTGACCAGCTCCTCCATCGCGTGCGTTGACATCAAGCTTGTCATACATCGTGTCTTCAGGTGTTGTCTTTTTAGGCTTAGCGTTTTCAGATGGCCCTGTATTGTAGTACACAGTTTGGTCAGAGATCTTCGGTTGGCCTCTGAAATACATAACCGCCATGGCCAATGTATCACAGGACTCACTCAAAAAAAAAAACAGTTCATAAATAAATACAGATCAATTCATTCTGTCAAACCTGTCAAATTACAGTAAACAAATCAAAAGTATATATAACTCCACAAAACTGCGTATTATGTTCAGGAACATGTTTTAACTAGTTAAAAGCAAAGCCAAATCATTATCCATTTTTAAATAGGCACACGATAAACCTGCCTTTGTATTGTCTGACACATGAACCTAATTTCGCAAAATACCAATAATATTTAATCCGATTTACTTAGATTATAATGACGGTAGATAGTTTGCAAATGATATCCTTTTTGAAACTATGCCCGAGTCGTAATAAAAGAGCAACTATTTTAAGTAAGAAGTGGTTGAAGAATTTTACATTGCCGTAAAACAGTTGCTAACATTTGTATAGTGCCGATATCCAGCGCAATCACAGAGTATCACAGATTAGGTATGAAACAAACTAATTCAATATTAAGAAATATTACCTACACGGACTTATATTTTGCATAAATTAAACCTCAGCTATAGGCCACTAGCAACCAAAGTTAGACCACCTTCCCGGGGGTCAAGGGGACTTACGGTACTTCTGCTTCCTACGTGATTCCTGGGAGGATTTACGTCAGCACTTTGGCCATTAGTGGCGGACTCAAGTGCCTTTAAGGAAGTAATTTATTGAGCAGGCAGACACTACTAAGGTTAATGGAGTTTGAAAATAGATTCTGCGAAGTGGCATCATCAGTATTGGAACGGTTATCCAAACGTCATATCAATTTAGTCGAATTGGGTTTCATATCCAGAGTGCCATGTATTCCTGGACAATACAGTACCTTCGTTTCCTCCTCCAGACAACAACTCCAACGACAATGCCGGCAACTGCAACGACAGCGGACGCAGTAGCCGACACCACCAGTACAAGATTTCGTCTGATCAATGGACTACCTGAAGGAAGATGCTCCGATATTAGAATTCCATAGCTTGATATTTAACATTATCACGTATTATTTATGTGACGAATTCTTGTTGTCAAAATCATTACAATTATTTATTGTTGTAAGCATTAAAATGATAGTAATAAATAGATGTAGGCCTAGAAAGGGAATAAAAGTACATTACCCATTTGGGGCTAACTGTCTGAAGATGGTTAAATTCTGAGCTACAGATCGACATGAACAAAGCTGCCCTACAATGCCGCAGCTTAGTCAAGTCTTCCTCCTGTACATAAACCAACCAAACTGGAGATCGGACGCGCTATAAGGGGAGGTACAAAACCCGCCTGAAAATATGTTGGACGAAACAATGAATTTCCAAACTTCTAGAGTGTGCGAAAGCAGCATGCGTACCAGGAATTCAACAAATTAATTAAATCCGGTGTCGAGAAAATTAGTTAAATCCGGAGTCGAGAAAAAGTTAACTGAAACAAGAAGAATATATCCTGGATAGACCTTTGCCAGGGCCATGTGACATCCAAAACTGATCCTGAAAAACTGTTATCTTCAATGGAAAGACAATTACTTTACTGCTTCAGTTCTCTATGGGATTGAGGTAATTTTCCTGCTTGGTTCTGGAAAGGTCAAACTATGTCTTCCAAAGAAAGGATTTGACTGATGCTAGAGACGTCTGCCCTTGTGTCTGAATACACAAATACACAATAACAAATGTTCACAGGGTGTTTGACTAGTCTAGTGTCCTCCTACTCTTCTTCCAATGATATAATTCATAGAAAGCAGACGATAGCAAGGAAGGGGTCTTGGGCTTGAAAGGACCATCTTCTGGTACAAAATACAATTTTGGAATAGGTCTATATATACTTGAAGACAAATTCTACCAACAACCCTGATCTTGTCCCTTTTGAGAACGCCAATGAATTAATTTTATGTCCCTATTTCAGGTCCCATTATTCTCGGTGCACTTTGTTTGGTACCTCCTGATCTGGGAAGAGAACTGTTTGAGACCTCGAAATAGAGTGAGGAAGGAGATCAGGTCTGACTTACTTTGGACAGGAGATGGTTTGCATGTCTCCACACCATCTGAACAAACGGCATCGCTTCTCTGCTGAGCTTCATCATAAGCAACCACAGTTATGTAAAACGTTCCACAAGACGGCGCTGTCCATGTGGCTTCAGTAGTGCGTGTTGATTCCATCTGCCATCAGAAGAGTAACACCATAGTAATACTCGTTATGTACCCTAATAGTGCTTAGACATATGAAAGCAAACCCTGTGTGTCGGCATAACCGTACAGAGAACTTGAGAAGAACGTTTCTTTCCGATATTACTATGTATTTTCTTTATATATCTACAAGTGTCACAATTACATGAGGAAGGACTAACGTTTTGGGTTTTGTTGAGGTCAAATAAGTGTCCTTGTAAACATCTTGGTCCGAACGTGTACTGGTAAAAGGCAATTGCACTCTCTCTGTCAAAGAATCCTTCCCAGTGGGCGTGGAGCTGTAGACTGTCCTGGTAGTCCACTTCCGTTTGTCCAGACTCACCATCGTGGACAACACCTGGTTGAGGGGGACTCACAGATACTTGGATCTAAACAGACAGTGAATGTATAGATGGAGGGACCAATGGTTCATGTTTGTGAAATGTTTGAGCAAAAATTGCATGTAACACATGTTATTACTGTGTAAACACTGCCCCTCATCATGATGTTATCATTCTCATTTAAGTTTGAATATAATGTTAATCTGTAACACTGAATATAGGAACTACACTGGATTTAACAAACACATCTAGACTTGCCTCGACTATCGGGTTCAGATATTTGTCCCGTGAAGGTTCCTACATCCGTAATGTAACTGGTCTGTCTAGTTATGATTCCTTTTATCAAAAGCTCTACAATAAGCCCTTTTTGACAACTGAGAATCGGCTTTTATGATTGATAGTTTATATTGGTTACTTAGATTGTTAGTGGCTGTACCCTCGAAGGGGGGTGAAGTATTGTAAAATTATTGTCCTCCTGAGAGGGCGCGTAAGTCCCCAAACCTTCCATGTTAAATATAGAATTATCAGATTTTTCAAACGTAGTATTTTTGTTATTTTAACTGTCGGCTAAATGTTCCTACACTCGCCAGCGGCTGAAGGGATGGTGTAAATCCAACTAGGGTCCATGCAGGTAGCAAAAGCAATGTAAGTCCCTATGGTCCCTAGGATGGTGATGTACCTTCAGTTGTTGGCGATCACTAGCCCATTTTTACATTTTATTGTCTAAAATAGTTTCCTACTTTTAAAAATAATACTAGCTAGTTTGAACCCTTTTTACTCTAGTTATTTTACAGTCCGTCGATGACTGGGTATTTAATTACTTGTATTATATTGTGTATGTACAACATTTCTCGTCACTATATGGCTGAAATATTGCCGGGGTGACTCACTCACTCACTCACTGAGAGTCGGTGTTTCTGTAGGTTAGGTTGTACTCGAGCACAAGTGACGAAATTGTTTGTTCAACTCTGTGACATGGGTCATGTTACATACACAAATTAATGACAGGTGTGAGCTCATGTACGAATTTAGCCATTTATACCTTTACTTCCTGTTCAGTTTGGAGTTTAGCATAATTTGTGGCTGTGACTAGAAACCAGTATTCCTTTCCTTCAGCCAACTTGACGTCCCTTATGTCTTCCAGGGCTGGTTTCACTTGGAAGTGGGGATGATAACATGTGCCAGCTGGAGTACAATAACAGTTACCATCTCTTGCATCGTGCATGGTGTTGCAGTCATCCAGAGTCTGGAATCATTCATTCAATAAAACATCAAACTTGATGACATATTATTGGAGTTTTACCCATATAATAGTTATTACTGTGTATTGAGGTTCACTGGTTCGAAATGCAAAGTCCATGAGTAATAATGGTAGAAATACAAATGTGTTAGTTGCTTTTGTCTGCGTCCCATTGACATAAATTCTGACCAGCAAGAGGAAACATTCACTTACACGATAGACCTGAGTAGAAATCCACTTTACAGATAACACCATATCTTCATCTTGCCGTTTTTGTACGATTCTCCATTGCACCGTTTCCACTCCACTGTGTCCATCGTACACATCGAACTCCAATCTAGAATCAGATAGAGATACGCTTCATGAAGTGCTTCAATTTGTTTCAGATTTATGTTCGCAAATATCATTATTGCACATCATTCTACTTATTATATAGTCTCTTTACACAACGTTAAAACCTTCAGGATAAGGTCGTGTATGCTGCTACGCCGTGACGTCTGCATCATTAAGATGAAAATGGCGAATTGTGAAATGGCGAAACTACTTTCAACATTCTTACATAACGTCATGAAGTTCCTCCAACCGATGCATACTGATGTTGAGACTGCCGCTTCTGTTTAGCCAAAGGTTCTCTATGACTGGAGGTGATGTGTCGATATGGACTGTCACCTGTTCTTCAAAGAATTCGCGTCTGATGTCATAGGCGCGCACCCAGAAGCGTACAGTGTCCCCGTCCACTAGTGAGGGTGTTATGGTCTGTGACTGATTCAGACCTTGACTAGTGAACAGGTTAACAGCTGGTGGACTGGTGATGGACGACCCTCCTTGGTGGTCGACTTTGTAAGATGTGAGGAAGCGTGTGATGCCTAGAACAGATCCCACATGTGACCTGGTTGTGTTTAGATTATCCCACTAACATTTTCGTATTGAGTGGAGGATTGTGTTTAGTTTCCAACTGTTTAGCAATATTTCAGCAATAGCACCGCGGGGACACCAGGAATAAGCTTCTCACATTGTACAGATGTGGACATTCGAACCTGGGTCTTCGGCATGAGGAGCGAACGCTTTAACCACAAGGCTACCCTACATCCCTGTCATATGGAAACATGCGTTTCAATGAGGTGACAATCTGCATTTACTCTGAATTATGCCGCGTGATTCTCTGTAAAATTATGATTTTTAATCATTTGTCTAAGGGAACCAAAGGCTAACTAATATGTCTTGAATTCTAGTACACCACATACCTTGAACATTTCTGACTTCACCTGTATCTCTGCTTCCATCGTTATCATCATAGCCCGAGCCGATGTCACCCAGAGAAGCTACACCAAGGAGCCATTTGTTGTTGTGATGGACTGTGTTGATATATCTGTTGGTCCAGTCTACTGTCACTGCTGATGATGTAGTTTGCCACTCTGATGATATTGATGATGCTGTTGTCACACGGAGAGCTGTATTTACCGGTGTTGTCACAGTCGAAGTACCATCATATATCACTATTCTTCTGGTACTTCTGTGATTACCTCCCTTGTCATAGGCAGATAGGACAACCGAGTACACGCCCGTCTTAGTCAGTGTGTAGCTGTTGGTCGTCTGATACATGTACATATGAAAAACAAAACATATGTCTGTAAAGTGAACACGTGACCACACACCGAGACAATTCACATTTCAAGATCTTTGAAACGGTGAATCAAGTGGCAGACTTTTTCTACTACTTATTATCACCAGGATTTGTAAAAGAAATACACGCACACGCATGCACTATCACACGACCACATGTCAGCATGTATAAATTAACATTAACAAGCATCTAATCAATCATAAATTAAGCTAATTAAATATTTGAACTACAGCAATGAATCCCTCACAGTTGAGCTTGTCAATGTTGTAGTGTTAACACGACGTTTATCTTTGAGGACATCCCCAACAGCGTGGAGTTCATACACGTCCCTCACAAAGTGGTCGACTCCTGCATCAGTATCCGACCAGCCACTCCACCGGAGATTCACTGTGGGCTGAAAAAAGTCATGGAATCATTCTTCCTGTCTACCATCAACATCCGGTGTGAAATATAACTGTGGCCATATACTTACAGTCTTGATAACATCGGGAACGGTCAGCATGCTGCCAACACAGGCAGTAGTACCAGTACAGTGATAGGGATCCACCAGGTCTATGGACACAGTAAAGGTGTGGGTCTGTGTGGCACCGTTGTAGTAGTAGGTCGCTAGTGTGTTACTCTTCTTGTCCCGGACCTTCACATACCCTCCATTACTTGTTGAAAACGTGAATTCCATACTGAAAATAATAATGTCAAAATTTTTATAGAAACCTAGGACATTCAGATTGCAAGTTCAATATGAAAGCCAAAATTTGAAATAAACAACAGTGTCTGTATCGTGTACCAGACTATGTGTACCAGATTGTAATCAAGTAGCAATATGTACTCATACAAAATACGTTGTGATTGTTACGGAAACGACAAAAAAATAATGTGATGAAATAGGTGTACTCAAATGTCAGGGTGAAAAGCAACACTACCCAAACGTCCATTCCGCTAGACACAGTCTAAACTGTATAACGTCATTTACGAAATCGTTGTTACATCCAAAGTCACCCATCCCATCCCCTCCCCATACTCACACATCTCTGTGTTGGAAGGGTAGAGGGGAGTACAGATGTCCCTGATGAGTTTCCTTCACAGGTGTACAGGTCTGTGTCCGGGCTGCTTCTGCTGACTCCTCCACAGTTATAGACCTTAGTGGAGACAACACCTGCACCTGCACCTTGGAACAACAACACAGTCAGCAGAGTGAATAATGATGTACGGATGATGATGAGACAAGAAGCACAAGATCATCAGTTGATGATTCATGATATGCTGACCTTTTACAGTGATTCAAACACATGTTCATGTGATGGTCCGCTTTTAGCGGTGGTTTGTAATGGATGTTGAAGGGTGTTGTAGCTTACATTTAGAAATCAACCACCGGATAGTATATAAGAAAGTAAGAGATTGTATGGATAACAACTTCTTTATTATATATGATGCGACGTTTCGGTATGGATTCTTATACCGTTGTCAAGCAAGAGTGAAGTACTACAGCACAGAACAGACTTATATACATGAACATGGATTAAGTAATAACAACATGTAGGAAATATACATGCTGATGAGATTAATTAACAATGATAGCTGAAGTGCTCTAATCTGTTGTTTTTATCAGTTCATTGTATGCAGAAGGGATGAGATATCCCTGGTCTCTGTTGAGTGAGGGCTTGTGTCTCCGGATTTGAACTGCTTCTGCAAGTTTCCTTTTGGTGAAGTCCTGGTTGTTTTTGGATCAGCATGTATATTTTGTTTCTACCTCCACCACCATTGGTTTCCTATTGTCACTACATTATTGCCACCGTGCCTTCTTGTTGTTGTTAATCCCCTTGATTCATTCCTACATGTTGTTATTACTTAATCCATGTTCATGTATATAAGTCTGTTCTGTGCTGTAGTACTTCACTCTTGCTTGACAACGGTATAAGAATCCATACCGAAACGTCGCATCATATATGATAAAGAAGTTGTAATCCATAAAATCTCTTACTTTCTTATTAGTCACCAACTTCTAAATGCCAATCAAACAGATCGGATAGTATATGTCTTTGTACAGTCAGATGAACGATGATATACCAAACTCGTTAGAAAATCCGTTCAAACTTTGAATGCATACAGAATATGTTATATTATGCATAGTGTGACCTCTTTTATCCCACACACCTCTCTTTAGTTTGAATGTAGCAGCACCACTGACAATTCCAACACGGAAGTTTTCAATGAAGGCATGTCTGGATGGAGGTACCATTTTGTACTCAGCCGTAAACTTATAGTACATTCTAGATGCAGAGTTGATGTTTGACCAGCTAGTGGACTGAAATGGACCACTGTTGATGTCGGGAGGTGCCTCTGTCGTGTCGCCGTTGCTCGCGGACAGTCTTAGGAGGTTGAAGTGTATTGTGGGCTTCGTTGTTACTGTGACAAACGTGTACAAATATACGAACAGTGTACGTGTACAAACAATACGCCAAGCCATAATGCAACATAATTCCGTTGATCAGACGGAAAATATGGGCATCATTTTATTTCGTCAAAGTCTAATCAGAAAGATGTATAGCTTGGTGTATTAGCTAATAATCATGTTGCTCAGTAAGACAGCTTTGCTCATTACAACTGTATAATGCATAACTGTCAATAGTGTGAAGCCGCCTCGTCGTCGGCAACTTTGGATATCAATAGGCAAGACATGACTTTGGTTTTTCAAACCTATGTTTAAAATGCTTCAGATGAATGCCCGAAGGCAAATGGATATATTTTAACGAGGTTAGTGATAAGGTTACTCTTCTTACCCATTTACTTGCAATCCTGTACAATCAGAAATACTCCAGAAGCAAAGTAACACTGAAAATGATATGAATGTATCACTGAAAATCAGAAGTGACATGAGGTCTTCGCCAAGAGGTAAAGCATGTCCTACGCCGCTGGCAGCACCCACCATTCCCCCACCATGCATACAAGGTTTTGGTTGTTATTTGTGCTTTGTTTATAATCCCAGGGAGCGTCAACTTACTTGTCTGACAATGTTTCCCTGTGAAGCCGCTGGAGCAGGCACAGTTACTGGCGTACTCGTTCCTGCAGGTCCCGGGATAACATCGGGTGCTGTCACTCCGCCACGAGCACGCCTCTGTAGACACAGATGTAGGGTCTAGGTTTTACAGCATGTTTAGTTAAGAATCTAAATGTGCTCTGTGTGGTGTAGTGGTGGCATATTTTCTTACTTCTATGTGATCTATAGTCAGAGGAATCAACACATACATTGCCTATGTACAAGCGGGGTAGTTCCTTGTTTCAAACTGAAGTTGACTGGAAATGATTTCTTTGTGAAAGTTCCAATGAATAAAGGAACGCCTCATCGTATGACAACATTTATGATCAGATTCACGATATAGGCAGTTTGCGCGCGCGCGCGCGTGTGTATGTGTTTATTCATAGCTCGATGAACTGGAACATAATAAACTAATAGGAACCCGTGATAACACCGGGTGCTTTGACTCAGCCACGAACACGCCTCTGTAGACAAAAATGGACGATCTAGGATTAAAAGCATGTTCAGTTAAGAAGCTGAATGTGCTCTGTGTAGTGAAGTTGTGGAAAGGCATATTTTCCTATTTCTATGTGATCTGTTGTCCGAAAAAACACTCTTCCAGCAATGTTCCTGTACAGTATGGTGGTTACATGTTCTCACTAAGGTTGACTGGAAGAGATATATTCAATGAATAAAAGAACGTCTCCATCGTATTTTTTTTGTAACATTTATGATCACCTCACAATGTATTGTCTTAAGATTCAAGTTTTTTGCTGTTTGCAGGTGTGATTTGTTAATCATAGCTCGATAAACTCGTAAATAACTGTAGCAGGAACCTATAAACACTCATTTTGGACATACAGTTGACTCGTTGTTCACCAATTGCAACTTACGTATGCATGATCTTCTGTCAGAAGACGCCACATATGCCCTGTGTCCTGCCTGGTCCAGCACGACCCCCTCACAGCGACTACACACCTGGTTGCTGCTGCTGGTGCATGTCTCCAGGTCACAGTTACTGATGGCGCTGCACACTGTCAAAGGAATCATAGGACATCAGCAACGTGAATTTCGAGTTTGAAACGGGCCAAAGCCGCATTCAACGGCGTGCCTCGAAAAGTGATGCAGTTTTCATACATCTACTACTTTGGTAAAACCACGAGTATGGTGGATCGAGGCGACAAGTGAAAAGCGTGCCCAACAAATGGCGGTGTACGAATACATCTGGCCATACGCGCCTCCGATATGAATAAATGCGCTGAACCTATATACACGTACTTCTGCAGCGTTCTCTGCTGGGGTAAAAGCCTTCATTACAGTTGGAACAGATCCCAGGGGGAAGTACAGCTGCCCCCACTCTTGAACTGTGTGTTGCCGTTACTGTAGACGATGTGAGATGTCCTGTAGTCGATGTTGCAAGCAGCGGAATTGATCTCGCTGTCACATATAGCTGCAATGTGTAAATGGTGTTTCATTGTTACATTATGTGTGGGTGAACATGTTAATGTCAAATCATACGAATTCTGAATTATTTTGTGGTAATATGTGCCCAGCTGGGATTAGAAGAAACAAAAGCAAAGTGCACCAGTGAGCATCAGCACAAACGGCAGTCGACAGCCTGTGTACTGATTCAAAATACATTACACGACCCGTCAAACTTTATGTTACCATGGATCATCAGGTCATTATGATAACAACTGTAGTGAGGTCACACGTTCCTCAGTCCAAGTAGCACAATTCACTTACGATGTGGGCAGCCTGTGCTATCTGTGTTTCTGTATCCTGATTTGCATCTGTAATTTGTGACCGACCTCTGCCTGGGAGAACAAAAAACGAAGTCTCTTTGGATAGATGAACAGGATATTGTCAACATGTGAATGAGCAACTTCGTAACAGTGCTAATGTCATATGCTCTAATCGTCAGCTATGATTTGGTCACTACAAATCTGTCAGAGAATTTCCGTTTGTCATAGAGGTCAACTGTGACGCTCTGATCGGCAGTAAATGGGGCCAGGATATAACTAAATTTTGTTCAAAGCCATTAACAGGGAGAAATAGTCAAATCAGGAAGATTTATACATTTAGAAAAGAACATTATGAATGATAACCATTGGTTTTAAGAAATGAAGTTTTACCTGTATCTTCCGCATCGTTGCCAACCAAGAAAACCACACGCCGTTGTGTATCGTGATGACCTGTAAGTTGTATACGCCTCTACGTTTACACTGAAAGGAAAGTAAGACTTGGAGGTATCATTATTTCTTCACCCCACACATGCATGTATTTAAACTGCAAATGCCCCCATGCAGGCAAGGAAGTCAAGTAAACGATAAGTGCATGTGAACAACATCCGATGAATGGAGATCTTATTTATTTAAGTGCCCACCCCTCATGGAATTGGCAAAATATCAACGTGAATTCTGTTTCCTGTCTGCAATTCCTTTTATAGCCCAACACATTCTGAAGGGTTGATGTGATGTGTAATGATGTTTTGACGCATTACAGCTAATGTGAATGTTGTTCGCCGATTACTTGTGTCCTCATGCATATTTATGACAACGCTAAAGGTGAATTTGCACATTAAGCAAAAGATGTCAAGTAGGAGTGAGTGAGTGAATTAGGTAATATTTAACGTCACATATCAGGCATATCGTGACGAGAGCAATTTAATTTATATCAATATAAGAACCAATAAATTGAGAACATAAAAAACCTGTCATCGAAGGACAGTAAAACTAGTACAATATCACAGCTCGTAATTTAAAACTAGCATGCTATCATAAAAATATATCACTATACACAACAATACAATATAAAACCGGGCTATAGATCACCAGCAACTGGAGTCTGATCACCATACTAGGGACTCTGGAGACTTACAGTACTTTGGCTACCTGCATGGACCCTAGCAGGATTTACACCATCCCTTCAGCCACTGGTGATTGTCGTGAAATTTAGCCATTTGTCAAGTAGGAAGACCCCAAATAGAACACCAAATAAGCAAATGGTTGATCAGACAGAAAACTCCCTGTAATTTGGAAGGAGGCACAATGGACTCTGGAATTGCGAAACCGAGAACCCTGTAAGGGAAATCTCGGATTTTCGTCGTTTGGGGTTTCGATTTCGCCTTCCGCTATTAAACTTATCAAATTAGGATTGAGTTTAGTAAATGTGTGCATGTGCGGTCCGGGTGATTAGAAGCATACTCTTTGTTAGCGATGTTACAACTCTTCTCAAATAATGGTGTTTATACTGTGTTATACTTATTATTTAGATGGTTAATACAGACTGTAATAGTAAACTAATGAAAATAATAGTTACTGTAAAAACAGTACGACGTAATATTGCAGTAATGTACAGTTATCAATACACACCGTCATTTAGAAAGTGGACAAATGTAACATATGTTATGTTTGGGATTGTATTTTAGTTGGGTTGAGTCCAACCCGGGATTGGAACCACACCCTCAGAGTCAGGCACCTAATCGCCAGCACACAAAGTCATGTTTGTGGAAGCCGCGGTGGCAGAGCGGGTTTGCGGCTGACTTTGTGTGCTGGCGATTAGCTGCCTCTGGATGTGAAAATATTGGACTCATGTAGCTGCGGCAAAAACAATACTATTTCATTCCAAAACGTCATCTGTAAACTATTGTAAAGAGCTTCAGCGCCAAAACCACGGTAAGTTTAACTGTTTCCCTTGTTTTAGAAGCGTTTGAAGAAATATTTGCCAAAACGTCACCAAAATAACATGCAAAGCAAAATGCATGTGCAAGAAAGCGAAAAAGCATGCGGTATCGATCACTGTATTATAAGAAAAAACAACAACATTGAGTTTAATTTTGTCGTTCGTAATTGCCTGGAAAAGAGGAAATTATCATGCCACGAGTGCCGCTAATCGAAACATCGCCATAGGTCGCCTTGAAGCTGAGGAGTCGCGCCTGTATTTGTCCAACATTTCAACGTTCATCAGAGTACTATATCTCGACTTTTGGATCGTTTCCTGCGGACCAATTCCGCCCAAGATAGCCCGAGAAGCAGCCGTGCAAGAGTTACTACCCACGCCCAGGACGCTACATCCAGTCTGCTCACTTGCATCATCGGGTTGCCAAAGCCGTGGAGACTGCACAACGTGTCCCTGGTTTGAGAAGAATTTCCGTCCAAACTGTCAGGAATCGATTGCGTGAAGTTGAAATTCGACCAAGAAGAGTCCAGAACTTGAAGCTTAGAAACTTGTGGCCAGTCTGGTTCAGTGATGAATCACGATTTCTTCTCCACCGGCGATATTGAAGATGAAGTAATTGCTCTTAAGCTAACGCAATACATTCTTCTAAAAATGGCTTATGCGGGTTTTTGTTTAAGGATTCAATTTTTTACGAGGTCAGTGATAAGACAGAAATGCATTCTTACCCATTTGCTTGCAATCCTGTGCTGAGCTTCCACGTAGCAAGTGTACAGACCCAAAACAATATGCAGTATTGTATAGATACCATGCTTCCTTGTTGATGATGTTCACTGAAGGATAACAAGAACGTATTACTGCAGTCCTTCCCCTACATGTGAGAAACACTAATATATATACTGCCGAACACTACAAGGAAGATGATTTTTTAACCGTAGTGATCCCCTTGGTCGTCAGGTAAGCCAGCGTGTACCACCTCCGGCGAAAGGAACCTGAGCCGACTCTCTTAGACTCTTAGTGAGTGAGTGAGTTTAGTTTTACGCCGCACTCAGCAATATTCCAGCTATATGGCGGCAGTATGTAAATAATCGAGCCTGGACCAGAAAGGGTTGGTCCAGTAATCAACAGCATGAGCACCGACCTGCTCAATTGGGAACCGATGACATGTGTCAACCAAACCAGCTTGCCTGACCAACCGATCACGGTAGTCGCCTCTTACGACAAGCATGGGTTGCTGAAGGTTCATTCTAACCGGGACCTTCTCTTTCAGACGGGTTACTTTTAGGCAGTTGAATTCAAGGTCAGAATAGGCGCAACTGGGGTTGACTTTGTCACCCTGCTAGCCCTCTGAATTGGTGCAAGGTCACACAGTCAATACTGTTTTTGTGAGCTGTCAAACTGCAACATGCATCAGGGGGTTTGCATTTAAACTGTCTGGCAGGTAGTCTGGCAGGTAGTCCATATATAGAACGTCATACTAGACCAAATGCATTTGGATGTTTTGTATTGAACGAGAAGATGTCATGGGAGCAGAGAAACAACGAGTTGAAGAACGAGTTGTTTCACTACTCCCATGACATCTCCGAGTCCGAGTTCGAAATATATTCATAGATAAAGAAAAAATATGCATGAACACAATGTATACTTACATTTTCGACTGAAATGTTATCGTTCTTGTCTGGTACGAGACGAAATATCACAACTGTTTTCTGTGCCCCTGCTACGACAGTGTTGCATTCGGTCTACTGTACCCTGGGTATAAACAGGTCCACATGTCTATTGGACTGCTGGAGCAAGACTGCTGTACCAGGAAGTTAAAAAACCCATGTCAAACAGCATTTAACAAATGCGACGTGCTTACACGTGTTCATCGTCCGCGAAAACTATAACTTGAAAAGGAAACATGACAAGACTGACAACATTCTTCTCTTTATATCTAACCGGGCTCATATCAAACCATTATTTCCCCAATAAACAGAAGGTTGCCAAAGAACCATCTGTTTTTGAGGGCGGTGAAGAAAATATTTTGTGTAGGCCCATCATTGGCCTAACAACAGTTGCGTTGACGATGTCAACAATGGGAACAGGTTGTCTAATACAAATTAACGAGGAACTGCATCAGCGTTAGAAAAACACAATGAACATCACGCTGATATGTTGTACAGGCCAACCGGAGGGGAGGAGAAAGCGTCATTGTGTGGGGACAATCGGTTATCATCACAGGATCGCTGTGCAGTTATTCCGTCTGCACATTGTTACTGTCGTGCACAGGGATGGTGTTTCCTAGAAAGTCTTAGTAATTATATGTTATATCTACCTCTCTTCTTTTATAAACCTCAACTTGAGCAGGACAACGCTCGCCACCATACAGCACGGGTCGGGTCTGTATGGACTAACTTGCCCAGAGGTAATAACATTCCTGTGATGTTCTGGCCGTGGTATGACGCAATTCAGCCTGTCTGGGAAAATATTGGCAATGCAGCAACCACTCTCCAGGAACTTGAAGTTCCTGGGATTGCAGCTGGTAGCTAACTGTGCATAATCTAAACTGTTAATCTTACCACACAGTGTGCATGCGTGTGTGCTTGCGTGTGTGTGTGTGTGTACATAATAATTGTATCTGCCTCGGACAACCTGGAAATGTACATACGGCCTTTCTTCGTGATATCACCAATATATGACCGCTCACAAACATAGATGAAACATTCAACTTCATGGATGACAACTTCTTGTTTGTTCGTTTTTGGCTCACCAACTATAGAGTGCCTATCAAACAATCACAAACAGAGAGTAGCATCACGTGTTAGCCGTAACCACAGTGACGTCACTATTTACAATCATGTGTTCCACTATATTGTTCACTGCACCATAGTAGCACCGTAAGATAATCACCACATTTCACTAGAGCTTTTTGGATTTCAGTAGATACCTTAATGTTAAAATCTAAAGATTGTTGATCTTTGTTTACTACTTTACAGCCATAATGACTTTATTTTCTAACCTGAAAGATAATGCACACAAATACGTGTTAATTGCAGCATTATTTTCCTCATTTTCAATTTTATGTTTCATATTTCCGAAATAGATATATCCAAACTGTTAAAATCTTTACAGTGGACCGCCTCCGTGGTGTAGTGGTTAGAGCGTCCGCCCGGAGAGCGGAAGGTCGCGGGTTCGATCCCCGACCGCGTCATACCAAAAGACGTTAAAATATACTTGTTGGTCCCTGGCGCTCGGCATTAATGGGTACAACAAGGACTGGTCGGCACGGAGTCAGTATAATGTGTTTGAGTGGGATATTCATGCTTCACTGCGGCATGGTATCTCAGTGGGCTAGCACTATAAAACCAGCTTCAGTCTGGGCTAGTACAAGCAGCCGCACATACACATACACAAGCATGCACGTCGTCATATGAGCGAACTATTCTCAAGCACGACGTTAAACCCAATTTCACCTCACCTCACCTTTACAGTGCACTGTACTTAGATATGCATTCATTTAGCGAAATAAGTTGAACTACACTTTTGGTATTGAAATCCATTTCCTGGAGTGAAACAAGTATGGACGGTCACTCAAAGCAATTTCAAATCGGATATCCCGTATATTGTACTTACATGGCAAATACACCTTCATAATATCCTCGTAACGAAGCATTTATTCCAAACAAAGTGTCGGATTAGAATTTGTCGTTATTGTACTGATGTTGCTGAGAATGATTGGCGACTATTCGACAACTTGAATTCTATAAAGAACACTGTATGCTCCAATATATAATTGCATATTTTCATACAAGCTGTAACACTCTAATTCTCTGTTTGTAAGAGCAAACTGAGAGGTCTGCGCCCAAACACAACCAGTATTGAAATGTCTTGCCAAACGCTGTCAACAAAAAGTCTTTGTGCAATGTCATACGAGATTCAGCTTGGTGGTTAGTGGTATGTGTCCCTGAATAATTGTCTAACAAGGATGTTTACAGTAATGTTTTAACGGTTGGGGTCCCTGTGTTGTTACCGGCTGTGTCAGTGCTTATTACTATATTAATAGCCCCTATCAACCAGGAAGTTCAAAGAATGTGACTCAGTTGTCAGTGAGGTTAATACCAATGTATCGTATAACATGTTCCACAACGAAACTTCATTCTTATCATGTACATGCTTCGCTGATTATGTAATGTGTAGCTATCTGAAGACCCAGTGTATTGAAGCGCCATTCGTTATTTTCAAGGAGATCGGAGTGCGATCCATCTACATGTTTTAATAACTTAGACATCGTCTAACATTGTTTTATAATTTCGTAGTTTCAGTCTTGTCCAAAATTCCGAGAGATAGGCAATCTGGGTGGTCACACGAGCAATACAGTATCATGGAAACAACACGCTGAAAGTTCTTGTGACATGTGTAGGATAATGTAGGTGCAATGCGTTACTTTCTAAGCGATAATATTTCGTGCGCAGCTGCTTATATCTAGTAGTAAATCTTGCTTTACAATGTTATATTGAAAAGAATTCTTTTTTATGAATTTATACCAAACCACTATCGTAGCATGTGCACCGAACCTTAGACTATCCTGATAATAACAGGTTTGTTGCAAACTCCAGGTGAACGACAGACGATGACACAGGCATAACACACATGCACTTGTATGATGGGTTGGGTGTGACAGTGATGAGGATAGATCCGCCAAGCACCACTATTTCCAGCTAGCGTTATTCTTCTACAGCAACAAGATACAGCGGTGTAATTGCACAAACGTAGCTGCATCGGATTCCAATTATTGGATAAAATGGTTTGAAATATCTGGATGTTCACAATAGAATACGTCCGGTTATTGACAGGGTTTAGATGCACTTGCAAACCAAGTTTTGTCCTGCCGTCTTCTAGTATCCCGCGATCCTGGCGTCTCATTCCAGGCATGTCATACATATTCCTGGGTGTGAACCCTAGACGCTCCCTGTGTTTGATTCTGGCTTGTTAGCACCATGTCACAAACGTCTAAGACCCGTATCGCTTCGACTTTCCTCCCACTATTTACCCACAGTGATGAAAATGACCCAACCCTGCTCAAAGCACCGTTAATTTTCGGTCTTTATTCGTGTCTCAGAGGTAATGTTTGTTGTGTTTATTATCAGACTTAATATCATTTGTACTTCTGGACTGGTGCGCACCCTATGACATTTACAAGTCTTATTTGTGACATATACAAAGAACTATTCATATGGCAACACTACACAATGCACAGCAGTGACCAAATATAACATGAATTAAGAATCATGGTTGTTTATTGATGCAATAAAATGCAAGATGTATGCACCACCGAATTTCACCCAGTTATAGCGTTCTTTTTATCGATGACCATCGATCCTGTCCACGCAGAGAGGCTGAAGAGAGTTTTACGTGGTGCATGACGTGGATGAGTGGGCCGTTTGCTTCCCTAACACTACTATTGTCCAGAAACGTGGATAGGGTTCAAGTCGTCAGAAACATGAGACAAGTCGCTCAAGATCATTACCATACCCGTAGACGTGTGCAATACAGAGCCCAACGATTCATATGCTTCCCCATACATCGCTAAAATCATGCAGTTCTCCAAATTGCGTCTCATGTTGTGTTTATCTAGAGATGCTGTGTAGTACTGAAGTTTCGACTAGACTCCTGACGTGAACTCTTCCGTAGATCCTGGAGGACAGAGAGACGCTGAGCTATGACTACTAGAGTTACGCCCCTTACGTCCTTACATTTGGGGGTGGGGGTGGGGGGGTGGGTGATTCCCACCCCTCAGTCTCTGAGTGAGGCAAACTAAATATCAGAACCAAAGGCATTGTGTATTCTTAGCTTTGATCATGGGAGTCGTTCACCTGTCAGTGGGGTAGACAAACCACGTGACCCAGACTACCAGTTGTCAGACTTGTCAGCTTGTGGAAGTCAGTGGCTGAGTGGGTTA